AAGTGTGCAAGGTGATGTAAAAAGATTCTTTAAAGTGTATGTTGAATCATATTTAAAGAAGATGTAATGTTGTGTTCTCGGTCAAATGATGTTGGAAAACGAGTTGGTTATTGTTATAAGACAATTAAAGGAGGTAATATGAGAACAATAGAATATGTGTTCTTATTGATTTGTTCAGTGAAAATTCGAGGATGAATTTTCTTTAAAGGAGGGGAGATTTGTAACATCCTCAATACCGAGTTAGTGACCAAATTGTAAAGTTTTAGAAATTGGTGATTAAAGTAGGATAATTGAATAGTTCAATGATTTATTGGAAATATGATGAAGGTTATTTAGTAATTATGGAATGAATTAAAGGGTAAAATGGTCAATTGACAAGTAAGATTTTTATATTTCTTTTATAAGATAAGGAACCACGTGGAAAATGAGAATTATCCAGAGTTTTCTTTCTTCTTCTTCCTCCTACCGTATCTCCAAGCTCAAAGGTGAGTTTCTTTGTTTATGGATTAATTGTTGATTTTAAGGTTAGGTTTTGATTATTAGATGATAACTAAGCTTAAGGAAAGCTTAAGTTATCTTAAAATCAAAGTATGATGGAGTTAGGAGGGATTAAAGATTTGGGGTTCTTGGGTGAAATCTTGAAATAGAGTTCATTACTCAAATTGGAAGATAAATTTGACTTGTCAAGGGTTAAATTAAGAGATATGAAGTGATAAAATGAGTTTTGAAACATGTTGGAAATCTGGTATAATTCTTGAAGTTAATAAAGAGAAGAGGATATTAAGGTTCAAGACGAGATAAATGAGTTTGAATAGGAGTAAGTAAGTTAAGAATACGAAATGGAATGATATATGAAGTAATTAAGTTGAAAAGAGGGGATTTTCGGGCATAAATTGGATTTCTGGGCTATGTGCATCGATGCACATTCAAGGTGCACCGATGCATCAAGGGTAAATTTCCAGAAATTGTTCAGTGTGTATCGATGCACAGGAAGTGCATCGATGCACCCTTAAAAATGGAAACATCGAATGCAATTTATGCATCGATGTATAAGGAATGCATCGATGCACTTCAAGGGAAATAGAATTATACCTTTCTTTTGGTCTACGAAATGATAGATTGAAGTATATCAATTGGATACTGATATGTATCAATGTATGATCATAGAGATATCGAGCACGAACAAGTCCCGAAACGATTATCAAGTCAAGATTCAATCGAAAGAGATGAAAGCATAAAAGTGGATTGGAACTTAGTGAGGCTCAGGTGAGTGCATACAAGTTAGTTTATGATGTTTAATGGAAATAAGACTTGCGACGAGTCTATTTCCTATATTAGAATGCATTAATTTATGATCATAGGCATATGTTTGATTTGGGTATATGTGATATATATTACAATATGTGTTAAATGATTGTGTGAATACATGTATTGTGATAAGTATAGGAATTAATATGAAAATGATCTATTGTAAGTAAATTACGTGATTATGTGACTATGTGTGAAATAGAGTAAACTAGGTAAGTATAAGGTATGTAAATATATGGCTATGGAACAAAGTATGTAATAATACAATGCTATTTGAGTTATTTAACAATAAGTCATAAGATTACATGCATATGTAACGTAAGTTATAAGTTAAGAAAATATGGGCTTACATGTATTTGCGGATATATATATATATATATATATATATATATATGAATAAGGTATGATATATGTTTATGAAAAACCATGCAAAGTGATAGGAGAAGGGAACTACATGATTATGTGATCATATGAGAATGAAATAAAGAGCCATGTGATATATGCCATGAGATATATGAAAGAAAAAGTATATGTGATAAGTGAAAGTGAATCATATGATTATATAAAGATGTTTTACGTACAAGTGATCTACGTGTATGTGTGATTTATATGGAAATGAACTACTTGACTACGTGTGATCTTATAAAAATGTAATAAAAGACTATGTGTATATGTGAATGTGTGATAACATAAAGATTAAAGCCCATGTTATGTGTCATGAGAGCTAGAGGTATAGTTGGCATGCCAAGAGTCGAGGGTCTACGCGGTCCTTTGGGACATATATGTATTCTTCGGAACATGTGTGAGGTCTTTTGAGACACATACTTGATCCTTGGCATATGTATATGATTCTTAAGGAATGATATATGGTCCTTAGGGACAACCTTATATGGCACTTCGGTGTATTTCTACGCGGCATTACGGTGCAATTCTACATGGCACTTCGGTGCATTTATACGAGCTGTGGTGACAGCATTAGTGCACAACCTCTATAAACTCACATATCTATAGTTATCAGAAATGTACATGGGCTAGACAAAGATATAACAATAAATATATTACATGTGAAAAATATGCTTTTGTGATATATGTTGATATGTGTATTGTTTGGTTACACGAAGCATATGTTGGTTAACAAGGTTAAGTTCAAGAGGATATGATCAACACATATAAATGATAGTAATATGGATAGTGAAATAAGGCTAATGATAGAAATGATGAGTGAGGAATATATGTGTGTATATGTTTTTATATGTAATGATATATATATTGCATATGTGTTACAGGGATTTGTTACATGAATAAGGGTATGAGTGATAGTAGTAATGGTTCATACATGATTGCAAGCTATAGTTTATATTTTATGTTTATTGTCTCACTAAGTCATCGACTTAGCGTGTGATTGTTTCACACGTAGGTTACCAAAGTGAGAAGAGTAAAGAGCAATGTGGAGCAAGACATGTCAGTTCTTTTTACTAAAGGTCAGATCAGAAGAAAGGTGAATAATATGTATTTTAATACATAAATTTCTAGTTGGCATGTATTCAAGATAATATATTGTATAAGCTCTGAATAGTTCGATAAAGGTTTTGAATAAGTTATATGTAATAATAAATTTTAAATTACAAATTATTTTATACAAGTAAAGGTTTTTGAAAAGTCAATGTGACACTTCAGACTCGAATCCGGGTCGGATACGGGTTGGGGTGTTACACATGCGATGGTTTTTTTCCAAAAGTTATTCACCTCAGATAATCGACAAGCTCCAAGTAATGACTTGATTGGGGAATTTAACCAAATCCAAGTGGATCGGCTAAGCTCTCTCACTCGATCAGTGACCTCCGAAGAAGTTCACAATACTTTGTTCATGATGGACCCAATAAAAGCCCCGAGAGTTAATGGTTTCCAAGCGAGTTTCTTTCAGAAAAATTGGAGCATAGTTGGGGGAAGTGTTGTACATTTTGTTACCAATTTCTTCAATACAAGTGATCTTCCTGAATGGGCAAACATGACTCTTCTGGTCATTATTCCAAAAGTGGAGGCCCCAGAAAGAATTACACAATTTTGACCCATCAAGGTACCTTATAAGATAATAATAAAGATTCTACTAGATCGCTCAGAACCAAATTAGTTTTATTCGCAACATAACGGATAATATCATCCTAGCCCAGAAGGAGGTGCATTCCATGAACTTAAAGAAGAGGGTGAAGGACTGGATGACTATCAAGGTGGACCTGGAAAAAGCCTATGACTGACTAGAATGAGACTTCATTGAGGATACTCTTATCGAGGTGGGTTTACCATCAATTTTCATTGCCTGGATTATGACCTGTGTCAGATCTGTTTCAACCCAAGTCCTTTAGAACACAGATGATTCGGATAGTTTCAAACCTTCTAGAGGTATACGTCAGGGAGTTCTTCTCTCTCCCTTCCTCTTTGTGATGTGTATGGAGCGTCTCTTGCACGAAATTGAATGTAGGGTGACTAGAGGAAGTTGGAAACAAATCTGATTATCAAGGAATGGGCCAGGGATCGCTCGTCTTTTCTTTGCATATGACTTAATGTTATTTACGGAAGCATTCATGGATCAAGTGGCAGTGATTCGAGAGGTGTTGGAACAGTTCTGTAAGTGTTCGGGCCATCATGTGAGTAATACAAAAACCTAGATCTTCTTTTCAAAGAATTGTGATGTTAGTCGAAAGCTTGTGATAGCAAATAGCTTTGGCTTTGAAGCTGTTACCAATTTAGGGAAGTACTTTGGAGTCCCACTTCTTCATGAGAGAGTTACTAAAGCCACTTATCGATATCTCATTGATAAAGTGTAGAATAAATTGTCGGCTCTCTTGCAGGGCGCATCATTCTCGCCAAAGTTGTGTTGCAAGTAATTCGGACGTACGCTATGCAGTTCACTTGGCTTCCGAAGGGTGTTTGTGAGACCTTGGAAAAACTAATCTGTAGATTTGTTTGGAATGTTGAGGATGGCTCCAATGCCCTAGCTTTAGTAAAATGGGACACGTTGAAAGAGACCCTTAGAAGGAGGGGGACTAGGAATTAAAGACATCGATATCCAAAACAAGGTTTTTCTTTTGAGAATCAGAATGCAATTATTAGAATGGATGGATAAATTGTGGGTGCAGGTCCTTAAATACAATTATTGCTGGTCAAAGGAGATCCCAAATTATTTACAAAGCTAAAGAAGCTCTCGGTTATGGAGAGGGTTAAGTTGTGTTTGGGGAGAAACTTGAGATGGGTCATGGAACTGTAGCTCTTGTGCACCATAATTTACTTGCTACGAGCCGCATCAATAACCGGTAAGTGTTATGGTAACGTCGTCGGGAGCATGGGATTGGAATCGTTTGGCGGGCTGGTTCTCGGTTGATATCTGCAACCACATTGCTGCGATATGCCCTCCGACTCCGGACCTTGGAGAGGACAAGCTGGCTTGGCTATAGGAACATGGTATTAAATTGCGGCCGCAACGCATTGTAATGGCCACATCGTAACGGTTTTAAAGGTTACCGCGACGCAATATTAAGGCAACACAACTGTCCGTGACAGCCGCAACACGTTAAAAAATCACGCACACGTTACGTAGCGTCCACAATATCCACAACTGCGACATCGCAACTGCGACAGATGCCGTAACCGCTATTTTATACTATGGATATGAAGCAAGTCATGATTTCACGGTTATGTCGACGTATAGAGTGCTTACTCAAACCTTGGCTAATGATGAATCTAGCAAATGGAAAATGGTTTGGGGACTCAACAGCCCCCAAAGGCCTAGAACTTTCTTATGGCTCACACTCCATGGAAGGTTGCTAACGAATGAAGAAAGGTTTCGAAGGCATATAGCGGACTCCACCAAGGGCACTATTTGTTACTCTGAGGTGGAGGATCTAAACCATTCTCTCCGGCGATGTCCATATATGTTTGATGTATAGAGCATATTAATGGCTACTGATAATTTGCATAATTTTATGAACATTCCCATTGAAGAATGGATCATCTCTGATACCAAGGGCCAATGCAATTACTCGATTCCGACCTTACATTGGGGAGTTCTTTTTGCGACAGTCTGTTGGAAGTTATAGAAGCGAAGGTGTAGGCGTGTAGCATCACCCTTCAGCCGAACTACGTGGAGCATGAAGATTTATTGGTGCAGTGTTTCCGCCTTAAGCGTGAGATTTTAGCCTCGAACTCAACTCTTAAGACTGGAAAGCTGAACTGTGGTCAAGTTAGATGGCAATGATCTGTAACAGACTGGGTAAAGGCTAACACAGATGGGGCCATGGGAGGTCCGAATCTAATGGCTGCAGCTGGGGGCGTTATTCGAGATTCACAAGGGGACTGGATTATCAGTTTTGCAAGAAGCTTAGGTATATGCTCGACGAAACATGCCGAAACATAGGCGATTCATGACGCGTTGAAACTGGTCTGGAATATGGGGTATAAAAAGGTGGAGGTTGAGACTGATTGTCAGTCAGCAGTGAAAATTCTCGACTGACAAACCACTATGACGGAAGACAATGCGATTGTGGCTAAAGTCCATGAGCTTTTGGGACGCAATTGGGAAACGAAGATTAATCATGTGCAAGGTTTCAAATTGCGGATCGAAAACACGATAACGGAAGTGATATTGCGATAGTGCCACCGTTCGAAATTGGTTTTTATGATTTTTACGGTGGGTAACGGATTCACACCAATAGCGGTATGTCGCGCCCGTAATTTATCGGGTAACGGTGGATTGTGCCGATCATGGGACGCTATAAGCGTTATTCCAACCGTGATTCTAACCGTATTTTTTTCTTTGTTTCAAAAAATGAGTGGTCGGGGAGGAGGAAGGGGAGAGAGAGTTGAGAGTGAAAGCATATTTTTGTTTGTTTGTTTCGTACAATGAAATCGGGGGAGGAAGGGGGAGGGGAGTTTTTTTTTTATTTCGAACAATGAAAGGTCGGGAAGGGGGAGGGGAGTTGTTTATTTCTTTTATTTTTTAAAATATTTTTAAAATATAATTTTAAAAGATATATTAATTTGACATCCCTCCCACTTTTAGAACTTATAAATTAATCCATAGTTTAAAATGTAAACTTTAATTTTTATTTAATTTAGTCTTAATTTTAGTAATCTAAATTTCTACAATTTAAATTTTACAATTTTATTTTAATTATATTTACTTTAGTTATTTTAGGGTAAGTTGTGTGACATTTAAAAAAAATTCACGACCGCGATACCTGTAATGATCGCAATGACATCCGTTATGTCCACAACCGTGATAAACGCGATGCGACCGAAAACTTTACCGCAAACACTATTTAAATCCCTGGTCATGTGCACCGAGAGGCAAATGCAGTAGCGGACCATCTTGCTAAAATAGCTAAAGGTTGTCCGGTGGCTGAAGTCCACTTCCAGGATTCTCCGATGGAGATTGCAGCTTTGTATGAGTTTGATCAAGCTCATATGTATTAAGCACTTTTTTCCAGTATTATCAAAAAAGAAAGGGAAAAAAACACTCAACTACTAACGTAAAACAAGGGTTCATGTTCGATTTTTAACTTTCTTCATCTTGTCAAAAAAAATGAAAAAATAATTAAATAAAAATTAAAAAATAATTTAAATATGTCACATCAACAACTTCATTAAAATTTTCATGGTAAATAATTGAAAAAAATAAAATATAATTTTAAAAATAACAATAATTAGATAAAAAATAAAAAATAAAGTAACGAGTAAATGACTAAATATTATTTATCATTTTTTAATTACATATGGGCTTTATAAATTTGGGTCCAGGCAGGAGGAGGTCCTGGTCAGGTGCCCCTCCTGCCCAGACTTAGTTACAGACTTGACTCTAGTGTTAACGATGTATTTAAAGGGGATAATATGAGAAAGTCTAAATGTGAAGCTTTGTTATTAGATGAATTGTTTAGGTGACTGTGGTGGTGGAGAAAGAGGGTAAGAGCCAGGCCCAACCCAATATATGTGTCTGATGGGCTTTAGCCTAGGGCAGCATGTTTGAGGGGGGCATCAGTTTCTAGTGCTTATAGTGTGTATATATATATTTGACAAAAAAAAAAGCCCAAAACACCTGATCGGTCGATGGAAGGGTTGTAACCTTGTAGGTTTTAGTTTATATTAGTATTGATATTGTTTGACTATAATTTCTGTTACATTTTTGTTTTAAAAAAATTATTTATGTTTTGTCTATTATACGGTATAAGTATAGGGGCATAAAATTATTATCTCGCTCAGGGTATTAAAACTCATTGGACCGGTCCTGGTAAGGGCGACATCGATAAATTTTTTTGGTTGAATTTAAGAGTTAAAATTGATATTTTATTTAAAATTTAAGGTTTAAAATGATATTTTATCTAAATTTTAAGGTCTAATTAGTATTCTATCTAAAGTTCATAGATAGTATTAAAAATTAATATCTTTTGATTAATGTTTCACATCATCAAACTAATGAGAATTAACGAATCAATGATTAAAATATAGGGTAAATTACATAATTCCTCTCTGAATTTTACTTTCTATTATTTTACTCATTGTACTTTCAATTTTTCTAATTTATTCACCGAACTTTAGAATTGCTCTTGTTTTGATAATTTAGAATTATTTTTATTATTATTTAATATAAAATATTTAAAATATAAAATAAAAATAAAAGGTGATCAGACGCCACCGTTAGCCGCCGTCGATCGTCGTAAATAGTGGTCGTTCAGTCTCAAATTTCATGTGTCACTTCGCCTTGACACCTCAAGTCTAAATTCGACCTCCATTTTGTCAGAACTTATTCTGAAGTCTATGAATTGGAGAACGAAAGTGAGGAAGTCGAAATGTTTAAGCCGAGATTCACTGGTTTTGGGATATTTTTTGGTGAAACAACTATTAAATTCATTCAGGAGGTTGAGATGAATCGACCTATGAAATTTGGGATCGAACGGTCACCATCTACGGTGATGACGTACAACCACCTTTTTTTTATTTTATATTTTAAATTATTTTATGTTAAACACATCATATGAAAATAATAATAAAATAACTTAGAATGATCAAAATAAGAATAATTCGAAAGTTTAATGAGTAAATTAAAAAAATTAAAGTACAATAAATAATATAGGAGAGAGAGAGAATAAAATTTAGTGATAAATAATATATTTTACCCTAAAATGTAATAATTAATAATATATATAATTAAAATTTAATAAATCGATAATATAAATTATTTATATTTAATTTTTTTAAGTTGAGTGATTAAAAATATATAAGAAAATTTATAAATACAATAGTTTACCCTTATAATAAACGTAAGAGGAAATCTTGTATTTAGAGACATAATGGTAAAAGCATAAATAAATAATACGTGGAATATTAGGAAAAGCAGTCTTAATATACAATTAAAAAAATGTTACTGGTTTTGTTATTATTTTTTAATATTTTTGATAAAAAAATAGCTGAAAACATTATTATTTCTATCGGTTTTGTTATTATTGGACGCTTTATCGGTTTTGTTAACATATCCGATAAAACACTACCTAAAACGTTATTTTTTCTACTGATTTTGTTATTATTAGTAACTTATCGGAAATGTTAAAAAATATTAATATTTTAGAAAGAAATAATAATATTTCTACTTATACATATATATATATATATATATATTTCTAATAATTTTTTACCGAAAATATTAAAAAAATAATAATAAAATTAATAACGTCTTTTTTTTAATTATATATTAAAGTAAATGAAAATAAAAAATAAATAAAAGAATCGACGACGTACTTTCTATGCTCTTTCCTCCCTATCTACTCTGAACTGAGTCAGTGAATCGGCCATCTTCTTTCTTAATCCAAACTAATAATTCCCTTTTTGAATCTTCTCTTTTCCCCTTTTCTTTAATTCTTAGGGTTACCTGTTTAAAAAAACAATATTTTTTCTAAAAAATCTCGATTTTATATTCTTCTGTTAGCAACATTTGTCATGGCTGTTCTGTCACTGAATTCTCTACCCATCGGATTACGTTTCCGACCAACCGACGAGGAACTGATCGATTTTTATCTACGCTCCAAGATCAACGGGGAACGAAGCGATGAAGTTTGGGTCATTCGTGAAATCGATGTTTGTAAATGTGAGCCCTGGGATTTGCCTGATTTGTCTGCTATACAAAGTCGTGATCCTGAGTGGTTTTTCTTCTGTCCGCTCGACCGAAAGTACCCGAGCGGAAATAGGCTCAATAGGGCCACCGAGGCCGGTTACTGGAAGGCTACGGGTAAGGATCGCAAGATCAAGTCTGGGTCCAGCTTGATCGGCATGAAGAAAACTCTCGTCTTTTATACCGGCCGGGCTCCAAGGGGAAAGCGAACTAACTGGGTTATGCATGAGTATCGTACTACGCTCACTCAACTTGACGGCACCAAGCCTGGACAGGTTCTTCTTTCGAATCCAGTTTCCGTTTAGTGAACCCTGTTTTTTATTATGAGAATTGAAGATGAAAGGTCAATTTTGAATATGGGTAGTGGAATTTAGTTGAAATCATGAATTCCTTGACGTGGTTGATAGTCTGGTGCAAGATTTTCCGAGTCCGTTTGCATCGATTTCCCTTTCTAATTTGGTCGATGGCCTATTTTTCTCTTTTTAAAGTACACGATTATTTGTGTTAATGTATTTCTTTGGCCAGGTCAATTGTGATGATATGTTGAAGTAGTTGCTTTATTTGAATGTAGTGCTCATTAGGCTATAGTTAGGCAAATTTGATGATTTTGGGGGGAAAAGAACGGGGTGTTGGAATTTTTTTTTTAATTAGGGTGGAATGTACAGTGAGTGCATTGGAAGACGGTTGGACCACCTGCCGTTGTTTGGAAGACACGACGTCTTCCCAGGCTGCATGTAGTCTGAACGTCAACCTTAGCAGAGTATCAACTCAGAAGACCGAGTCTTTCAGGCATCTTTCTAAAGACGTCAGGTATCCCGACGGTCTTCCCAAAGATACGGCTTCTTTTAGGTTGATACTATGCTAAGGTTGGTGTTCAGACTACATGCAGCCTGGGGAAGGCCATGCCTTCCATACGTCGCCAGATTATCCGGCTGTCTTCCCCCTTATATTATTTATTCTACCCCTAGTTGAGAAAATAATTTTCCCTGCACCTATATGAGCCATTCCTTTTTCCCACTACATTATCTAAAAATTTTGCCGTTATAGTTATTTTCACATATTCGTTGATCTTGCATTCCCTCCTTGTGCAGAATCCATTTGTGATTTGTCGTCTATTTAAGAAACAAGATGATAGCATTGAAGATATAAATGAAGTTGATCCTGTTGCATCTTCTCCTACTGAAGATATGCAGTCTGAGTTAGAAGGGCCTCAAGACTCGCCTGCAGTGGAAGGGGTGGCCCAAAAATTTCCTAATAGCAATGGAACTTGTCCTGGGAGCCTGCCAAATGAAGTGATTTCTAGCACAGTTGCACCTACATTAGAGTGCGATATCAATGGCTCGAAAGCTTATGGCGTGTTGAGTCAAGGGAGGGGATTAGTGCCTGCAGAGGTTAGAAAAGGAAGCTGAATATGGATTTCAGATTTTTGTAATAATTGCTGTAGAACTTATGTTGTCCAATTTCAGGTTGATCCACTGGAAGAAGCTTTAAATCATTTTTATGTTCCCGTGGTGGAGCCACTGGATTTCGAACTCTTTTCTCCGTTGCACTCACAGATTGAAGCAGAGGGAGCACCTTGGATGTTAGGTCATGTTGGGAACAATTTCAGTGAAACGGAGTTGGAGCATGATATAAATGAAAATGAGGCCTCTATTTCTGATTTCTTGGATTCTATCCTAAACAATTCTGATGACAACTACAGTGTTGACTCTGGCAATCAGAAAAATTCAGCTCTTCAAAGTGAAATCCCCAAAGCCTTGGCCACTGTTATGGATGGAATATCATGCAGTAAATCAGAAGCTGAAGCCCAAATATTGGTGAGTGGCAGCCTTGGTCGTATCGTACTTGCTTCGCATTAAACCTCGTATGGTGTCGTGATTCATGCCAGTGTGGTTCACAATGGCTTACGAATTATGATGGCATGCATTACATGCATAATTTAATATTTTCATGTTCATGCATTAGGTCCAATTTTCATTCCGATTAATCTGTTATTTTCCTAAAATCGAGAGTTTTCCCTTGGAACAGCTTGGGACAGAAACTGCCAACGGAGCTCCTTTAGAGATTAAAGCCACTGCACAAGATTGCACGACCCCAACAAGCGAAGACGTTAGCTTTTCTGGTACTCTGCCATTGCAAAATGTGTTAAACCGTAAAGAAGAATCGAGCAATCATGCAAATGCAGATTGTAATCTTGATAATGCTATCACTGGAATCAGGATAAGGCCTCGTCCTGCTCGAAGTCGGCCAAACATTGAGAATTCTGTGATGCAGGGCAATGCCCCGAGAAGAATACGCCTGCAATGTAAACTTCAAGTTGGCACTCTTTACCCTCCTAATGCAATGAATAACTTTAGTGAAGGAAAAGATGAAGATTCAAAGCCAGTTGTGTCCATGGACAAACCCCAGGAAACATTCCTTTCTGAGTCGAGCGAAAAAAGTGTATTGAAGTCGAAAACCATTGTTTCAGTTTTTGAAGAGATTCCATCTCGTTGCTCGAAGAAGTTTTCCGCCAGTCGCCGGCATACGCCCTTTGGTGTTATCTTTTGGGTAACTGTGATATTCATCTTGCTTATAGTTTTGGTTAGCAAAATGAATCTTGCAGTTTGATGACCCCATATTTCGTCGTGTATAGTTGACATGCTTCATAGAATCCTATTTTTAAGAACCGAGGTGATGATTTTTAATAGTAACAATTATGTATGTAATAACACGAGTATATATGTTCAGTGTAATAGACAGAGCATCTGTTTATGCAGTATATATGACATTTGTTTCAGAGTTTTTGCATATTGCTTCAGAAAAGGCTGCCATTGAGGAACACTACTGGTAATATGATTTCATTGAGTACATAGTTTTATACTTTGCCTAAAACCATTCGTTTTCGAAGATTTACAGGAACATAAACTGACAGTTCTGAAACACAGATGGGAAAATAGTGAATTTGCAAGGGTATACTTCAGTGGAACGAGATTTAAAATTTAGAATTTAAAATTGTGAATTTGCAAAAGGAGAAAGAAATTTGTTACACCCTGAGATATACTTCGAAAATAGTATCTTCGTTTACTATTCATTTGAGGTCCCATACTTCTCAGATGGCCATAGTCCCACAATTAAACCTCTGTCAGTCTTACGTGTTGTATCAGAGTCGATCATGTTTTAACAACTATAAGCATCTTGTTTAAATCAACCTATAGATAGACATCGTCATCATAGGTCTGACACTAGCCATCCTATAGCCAAGGTATTTATACATTGAGAAAAAGCTTGAAGAGGGCCTCTCCACTTTCTTCTCTTGCTTAACCCTACATCTCCACCACCATATACTTTCAACTCTTTCATAAAGAAATATCGATGCGTTTGTTATTTAATCGGGTACTGTTTTTCGTTCAAATCAGAATAGATGAATTGCTAACAGTTAATGAGATAAACTTGTTACCATCAACAATTGGTACAATGAACATGTGATACCTTTTGACAGAAAAAAATCAATCGAGATGAAACCTTCCATCTCTCCCTCGACATCTAAAAGAATACAAACTGGTAAGAAGTTTATATACAAATTTATCATACAAGATCAACGGCAGAAAACTAACTTAGCTAATAATGTAACTAACCCGTAACTGCTCAACTAAAATACTAACTATAATAGCCCCCTCTCACCCGTAACTGCTTAACTAAAATACTAACTATAATAGCCCCCTCTCAAGATGGAGACTGGTGGATGTTGAGAAGTCCCATCTTGCTAATGAGAGAAGAAAACGTAGGCGAGTTAAGAGCCTTCGTAAAAATGTCGGCCAGCTGATTTTCAGATCGAACATGAAACAGTTTTAAGAAGCCTTGTCGAACTTTATCTCGAATGAAATGACAGTTGACCTCAATGTGTTTAGTCCACTCATGAAAATCTTGAATTGAAGCTAAATGGATGCTGTAAACACTAATTTTTTTATTTTTGTTTTTATTATTATTATTTTTATTATTATTAAATATTATTATATTATTTACAAACAGTTACAAACAAAACTGGACCGGCCTAGTTACAAACAAAACAGAATCGGCCCAGACCAACCAGAAACCCTAAACATTTGGGGGTTTCAGCTAGGGTTTCTAAACCCTAGCCCCCAGCCGCCTCCAAGATTCCAGAAGGCCACATGGCCGCCGTTTATCTGCCAACCGACACCTTCAATGCCAGGTGACCCAACCAGCAGCCGATGACGCCTTGCTGCCACGACACCACCATCGCCGAAGTCTCCAGAAGGCCAGATGGCCACCCACGTTGCTGCTCTAGGAGTGAGTCACCACATAGTTCGGTGACTCACCGAACTTCCCCCTCTAGACCGGTCCGAGCATGGCTCGGTGGTGGCTATAAAAGCCACCGGATCCTGCAAAAGAAAAAGGGGGACAGAAATGAAGAAAGGGCAAGCAAAGCAGCAACCACACACAGCCACAGAGAGCAAGAAAAAAAAAGATACGAACATCAACCAAGAAGTCAGAGGAAAATAACACAATAACCATCAAAATCCATAAAACAGAAAGAAAGAAAAAGGAGAAAAGCTTACCAATAGAGATGCGATCATCGGAGCCTTCTCATCTTGTCGGAGAACCGAAAATACCGAAGGTATTTTCTTAGATTTAAGAAAATCTAAGGGTTTTTAGGATAAAATGATGCTAGATTCGGGTTCGTGGCAAGTAGATCTTTAAGATTAGGGTATTTTTTGCATATTCCGGCCACCGTGGGTGGTGGCCGGCAGTGGTGTCGGTGCCGGAGTATGGCTATCAGCCGGTGGCCGACCAACCTCCGTTTGGAGGATTGAAGAGAGAGGCGAGAGGATTCTGGCTCTCTCTCAGTGTTGAGAGAGAAGGAAGAAAGGAGAATGAGAGAGCTGGCCCTTCGGGCCAGTCGTTTGGGGATTTATACCCCTTCCCGAACGACGTCGTTTTGGGAAGGAGTATATGCGTAATTTACATGTATGGCTAAACCCCTTCCGTAGCCATCCGAGTTTTATAATTATTCATTTTAGTCACTAAAACTAACTTCTGAATGTTCTAATTCAGTCTTCAAATTTTATTTTATTATGTTTTAATCCTTACCAGTATTAAATAATATATTTAGGACAAATATCACATTTAGTCCCTATTAATTTTAATATTTCTATTTTAATCACTGATTAAATAAATAATGGTTAATTACACTACTAGTATTTATATTTTATGATAATTCTAACCATGTCTCTTAAATATTTATATTTTATAATTTGATCATTAAATTTTATATAATCTTAATTTTAACCATAAGTTTTATTATTTTTACATTTTTAAGTTCATATATTTATGAATATGATCCATTAGTTTTTAATATTATTACTTTTAATTTCTTTCATTTTAATTATTATTATTTTATTTTATTATTACGTTTGATATATGTTTAAATTATTATCTTCATGATTATTATTATTATTATTAAGTTATATAAACATATTTATATAATATTTATTTATTTATTCTATTCGTTTATTAAATAAAAATCCTATTTATAAATTTAATTTTATAAATTACTTTTAAAAATAAACATATTTTGATATGTATTTATTTTTTAATATCTAAGAAAATAGCTGTCTTAAAATACCTAGAAGTCCTTTTCTGATATTCTTAAATAAATAAATGTCCTATTTTTATAAATCATATATTAATATATTTTAATTATTTTAAGATAAATGTTTTATTAACATTTATTTATTAATATTAAGAAAAGAACTGTCTTAAGGCACCTAGAAGTCATTTTCTGATATTTCTAAATAAATAAATATTTTTATAAATTAATATATTTTCTTAAAAATTATATTAATAAAATTTGAAATAACATAATTATAAATTACATATATTTTGAATTTTTAAATTTCTAATAATAGAGACAATTTATAATTAAAAAGTACCAATTTTGGGCGTTGTATGGGTGCTAATCCTTCCCTAAACGTAACCGACCACGAATCCCTTTTTATTATTAAAAAGAACGAATTTTTGGTTAAAACGCAGATCAGTTCATCTTTTAGCTAATGTTTTCTTAAAAACTCTGTTAAAAGATAATTTTTAGGTATTCGACCTACCTGACCCAAAAGGCCGATGGCGACTCCCAAATTATTTTCAAAACCATTTATTCACATCAATTTTCTCGCCAAGTAAAATTTCGTGCCCGGACGAAAACCGATTACGACAGCTTGGCGACTCCACTGGGAACTGGTCAAACTTTAAAACCAATTATTACTTGTCTCTATCAATTAGAAAATTAAAAATTCATATATTTAATTTTTAATTCTTTCTTTTCAAAATTTTTATATATATACTTATTATTTTCATAATATTTATATGTTATTTAATGCTTTATTTTCAAATATTAAATTTTATTATTTATTTGTTAGAGGTTTGAACATTTCTCCTCACACACAACACTTGCATTGCATAACATAAAGCTCTATAATTGAGTTTGTCCCTTTTAAGTGGGAGAGAAAGCGACGTCTTCGTGAGAATTTATTCTCCGTGTCAGACCTAGCAAGTAACTTTCGGGGTTCATACGCTCTATGTCTTCGTGAGAATTTATTCTCCGTGTTAGTTATAGAGAAATGTATCCCCTCGAATTGAACTCGATCCGCTTAAGTCTGTAATGGACTAGGATTGAGGGTTTGATAGCCCAAGGGGGCACTAACAAGGACAATTCGAGTACCTTTACTCCTAGAACTAAAACCCTACATGTAATAAACCTTATAACTTCTCCTGATCTAAGACAGTACTGAAACTCTGTCCTTAGGTGTACACAAAGGAGAAATAAGCTTTAGCTTTTAATTTTTTAATTTATTATTTTTTCTAAATAAATGCCTACGAACTAAAAATCATGCGGTTAGGTTAAATTTTCCAAACAAAGCATGGAACTAGAAAGCATGAGGTTAAGATTTATACCTTGATAGATAGATTTTTTTCATTAGTTGGTACTAACTATTTTATTTTTTCTCATTTCTTTTGTTTGCATTGCATGATCATAGCATAACCAAAAGGTGTTTACTTGAAAGACTGTTCATCATATTGGAAAGAAATTGTAAATGGACAAAAAGTTTTGTGATCAAACAAAATATGATGCAGCCAAAGAAAGACATCCTGAGGAAACTCTGAGGATAGAAGCAAGCTATGCACCCAAAGATCGTATGACCATTGAAGAGCAAAAGGAGATACGAGAAATAAGAGAGCAGATGACCAAGATGATGGATAGAATATCTGTTTTGGCCAAAGAAAAAGAGATTCCAGCACAGAAAGAGAGAGAGCTCAATGAACCTAACTCTGCAGTTTCAGATACGCAAGGGACTTCGATTCTTAACCAATTTGAGAAATTACAGACAGTCATCATTCGTATTCACAAATCGTCTGGAGATACCAAAGAAATGGTGACGACTGTACAAGCTCCCAGAGAAGAGAAGAAATCATGTAATCAGAAATCATCAAAGTTTGGTCTACTCCTGATGTCTAAAACTCAGGTCCAATCCAAGACAAAAGGTGGTTCTCATCTTGATACTATCCCCATATCATATAAAGAGTTGTATGAGAAGCTACTTGAAGCACGAGAAGTGGATCCATATTATATAAAACCGTTCCAACCTCCGTATCCAAATTGGTATGACATCAACGTTCATTGTGAATATCATACCGGAGCTCAAGGACATACTATCGAG